CACACACACACACACACACACACACACACACACACACACACACACACACACACATACACACAAACTCACGCAGAAATCGAACTCACGTCTTCTGCGTACGACAGCGAAGGGCTGAACCGCTACACCACGGACGTTTGTAGTAACAAAATAATTGAGTTTCACGCAATTTTCGTTTATTTTAATTAGATGAACGTAACCAAAGAAAAAAAATGATAAAAAGAAAATGTAAAAAAAAATATTTAAAAAATGAAAAAATAAATGAAAAGCCTAAAATACAAATCTTGCCATCTTTAAAAGGACAGTTTGCAGCATCTGTGGTTCTAGCACAAAAGTCTTTTTGACTTCATAACGATTGTTTTTTTAAATTACTGTAGTGCTGAAGAAATTACATTATCATTTTGACCGTGCTGTGATGGATGCTGTTCACAATGTTTGTGTGCATGTTATAGAGGTTGGCATGGCAACGTGTGTCTACCTAATATTTTCCGCCCTCTGGCCAAAGTTTTGGATGCCTGATTGTCAATAAAAATACGAACGTATGCAAGAGAGGTAAGGTAAATTATTATTTTAATTGTTACTCGAACAGGTCTGTTTTGTTTATTAGGGTTACCTAAATGGCCAAAATTATCTTAACAACGACAGCCAAATCCTGGTGATGGTCATGATATGCTGATGATGATGATGACGACGACAACGACAACGAAGACAAAGATGAAGTCCTTATAATGTGCCCTGTGTGAACCCAAAACTTTATTTGCTCACCTCATAAGACAACGTGCCACTCAGAATGCACCACACGCTGCACCATAATGACATTTTCTAACTACACTGAACTCTAATATCTCCAGCAATGAGAACCAGGCTTGGGTGATTTATCGCTTAAGCTCCAATTATTCTGTCTAATGCGAATGAACTGTTTGTAACCGAAAAACAAAACTTCCCTCTTCAGCGCACGACCAAATTTGCACAGTGGCAGCATAACTCCACTCAAGGAGCGCAGGCAGCCTTCATTCTTGTTATCCTCTCTGTAAATCTTGGACAGGGCTTCCATGTTTAGGCTCTTCTGAAAGTCTTTTAATGACGATTCCAACACGCTGGTGTTCACGGTTTTTTTGGTTGGTAAGTGTTTTACGGCACTCGCAACTTGCTCTGCATTCGGTCATACGAGCGCGCGGGACACATTGAGCATTTTCAGTTTGGTAGGAATGGTGATCACTTTAAATATAATACAATATATA